CCACACTCCAAAGACATGCTGGTAGGTTAATTGGCTCCTGTCTAAATTGTCCCTAGTATGTGTATGTATGAATGTACGTTAGAGACCTTAGAGTGTACGCCCCTTGAGGGTTAGGGACCTTAGATTGTACGCCCCTTGAGGGTTATGGACCTTAGAGTGTACACCCCTTGAGGGTCGGGGAACTGATGTGAATGTACAATATATATATATAAAAGCGCTGCGTAAATTGACGGCGCTACATAAGTACCTGAAATAAATAATTAAAATATTGCCAAGAGTATTGGGCTGTCACAGTGGACCTCGGCTAGGCTCATCTTACACGTTGGGCTGAAGAACATCAGACCTCTGAGGGCACTTCATGTCACAAACTCCAAAGTCCGACCCTGTCTTCACATACACCGTATCTGGAAAGGCAGAGAGGACTCCGGCCATCCATAGCAGACCTGGGAGAGAAGAAAACTATTTCTTGTCTCTGAGTGTGTTGGAAAGCATATCCCCCATTGGGGGGCTGTGGTCTCTTCTGCTGGCAACTACATCACTACAAGACATCAGCCTCTTGGATGTACCACAGCTCCCAGAGAGACTATTATGGAGGGACTGTATAGCAGCAGTGCCCCCAGATGTGTTAAGACAACTGACATTTACATACCAAATATCTAGACAGGTAAGTATTCCATGTGTTTTTACAAGGTGGTGCTGGTCACCCAATATACATGTGTATATACACCCCAGTACCCTCAAACCATCACTACAGAGCCAAGAATATGCACATACACGCTGATCTCCAATGTACCCCCAAACCACCACTGGAGAGCCAAGGAGCCCCATATACATATATACTTAGATATTCAGTGTATTCTGAAACCCACATAATAGAGCTGAGGAGCCCCAAAACCATGTAAATACGCCCTAAAATCCAGCATAACCGCCCAACCATCACTACAATTCCAAAGAACCCTGTGTTTATATCTACCCCAAAATCTGGTGTACCTCAAACCATTATTACAGAGCCAAGGGGGCCTCATATACATGTGTACAGTGCAGGAAATATATATTTGCTCCCCGGCTGATGTTGAATGTTCGCCCCTCACAAAGAAATGATCGGTCTAAAAATCGAATGTTTGGTGTATTGTAACACTGAGAGACAGAGTACAACAACAAATTCAACAGAAATGCGTCTAACAAATGATGACTGATCTGCATGTTCATGAGGGAAAGAAGGATTTGATCCCCTTCACAAAACATGACTTAGTATTTGGTGGCAAATCCCTTGTTGGCAATCACAGAGGTCAGACGTTTCCTGGAGTTGGCCCCCAGGTTCGCACACATCTCAGGAGGGATTTTGGCCCACTCCTCCTAGCAGATCCTCTCCAAGTCATTAAGGTTTGGTGGATGACGTTTGGCAACTCGAACTTTCAGCTCCCTCCACAAATTTTCAATCGCATTAAGGTCTGGAGACTGGCTAGGCCACTCCAGGACCTTAATGTGCTTCTTCTTGAGCCACTCCTTTGTTGCCTTGGCCGTGTGTTTTGGGTCATTGTCATGCTGGAACACCACCAATCCACAAACCATTTTCAATGCCCTGGCTGAGGGAAGAAGGTTCTCACCCAAGATTTGAGGGTACATTGTCCCGGCCATCGTCCCTTTGATGCGGTGCAGTTGTCCTGTCCCCTTAGCAGAAAAACACCCACAAAGCAGTTTGTTTCCACCATGTTTCACAGTTGGGATGGTGTTCTTGGGGTCATAAGCAGCATTCCTCCTCCTCCAAACACGGCAAGTCGAGTTGATGCCAAAGAGCTGGATTTTGGTCTCCTCTGACCACAACACTTTCCACCAGTCCTCCTCTGCATCATTCAGATGTTCAGTGGCAGACTTCAGACGGGCCTGGACATGTGCTTTCTTGAGCAGAGGGACCTTGCGGGCACTGCAGGATTTCAGTCCTTGTCGGCGTAGTGTGTTACCAATTGTTTTCTTGGTGACTGTGGTCCCAGCTGCCTGGAGATCATTGACAAGATCCTCACGTGTAGTTCTGGGATGATTCCGCACTGTTATCATGATCATTGACACTCCATGAGGTGAGATCTTGCATGGTGCACCAGACCTAGGGAGACTGACACTTGTTTTGTGTTTCTTCCATTTGTGAATGATTGCACCAACTGTTGTCACCTTCTCACCAAGCTGCTTGGCCATAGTTTGGTAGCCCAGTCCAGCCTTGTGTAGGTCTACCATCTTGTCCCTGACATTCTTGGACAGCTCTTTGGTCTTTGCCATGGTGGAGAGTTTGGAATCTGATGGTTTGATTGCTCCTGTGGACAGGTGTCTTTTATACAGGTAACACAATGAGATTAGCAGCACTCCCTTTAAGAGACTGCTTCTAATCTCAGCTTGTTACCTGTATGAAAGACACCTGGGAGCCAGAAATCCTGCTGATTGATAGGGGATCAAATCCTTCTTTCCCTCATGAACATGCAGATCAGTCATCATTTGTTAGACGCATTTCTGCTGAATTTGTTGTTGTATTCTGTCTCTCAGTGTTACAATACACCGAACATTCGATCTTTAGACCGATCATTTCTATGTGAGGGGCGAACATCAGCCGGGGAGAAAATAAGCATTTCCTTCACTGTATATACTTAGATATTCAGTGTATTCTGAACCCCACAATAGAGCTGAGGAGCCTCATAATCATGTAAATACGCCCTAAAATCCAGCATAACCGCCCAACCATCACTACAATTCCAAGGAACCCTGTGTTTATATCTACCCAAAAATCTGGTGTACCTCAAACCATTATTACAGAGCCAAGGGGCCTCATATACATGTACATACAGTCCAACATATTATTCAATGCGTTGGAATACAGAATTGTATTTTGTGCGACAACTACTGTTCATCAATACATATTCTTTAACCAGTAGATGGCAGAGGAACCGTGTAGGAAACATATGGCGCCACTTAACCCCTTGCCCTCCTGAGGATTTACCCCCCTCAATGACCACGCCTTTTTTTGCTGTTTGGCGCTGCACTAATTCAAATGATAATTGCGCGGTCATGCAATGCTGTACCCAAACAAAATTTACGTCCTTTTTTTCACACAAATAGAGCTTTCTTTTGGTGGTATTTTATCACCTTTGCGCTTTTTTTTTTTTTTGCGCTATAAACAAAAAAAAACACAAATTTTGAAAAAAAACAATATTTTCTATTTTCAGCTATAAAAAATATATCGTAAACTCAAAGTTAGTCATAAATTTAAGCCAAAATGTATTCTGCTCCAAGTTTTTGGTAAAAAAAATCCCGTGCATTAACGGGCAAACTGGCGCTATATGGGAGGGGCGCTAACACTATCGGAAGTCAGCAGCGACACTAATACAGTGATCAGTAAAAATCTGTTCACTGTAATCAATGACACTGGTGACAGCGCAGTGAAGGGGTTAACTGGGGGGGGGGGGGGGGGATCAAGGGGTTAAATGGGATTACTGGTGTACTGGCGGGCAATCTGGCGCTATCTGGGAGGGGCGCTAACACTATCGGAAGTCGCCAGCGACACTGATACAGTGATCAGTAAAAATCGGTTCACTGATCAGTGACACTGGTGACAGGGCAGTAAAGGGGTTAACTGGGGGGGGGGGGGGCAATCAAGGGGTTAAAAGGGATTAGTGGTGTACTGGCGGGCAATCTGGCGCTATCTGGGAGGGGCGCTAACACTATCGGAGGTCGCCAGTGACACTGATACAGTGATCAGTAAAAATCGATTCACTGATCAGTGAGACTGGTGACAGGGCAGTGAAGGGGTTAACTGGGGGGGGAGCGATCAGGGGGTTAAATGTGTCCTAGGTGTCTTCTATCTGTGGGTATGTGCTGTTCTACTCACTGTTTGTATGTCTTCTTCTCTGTCTGGAACGGAATGTGTCCAGGCAGAGAAGAATGACATCATATCCTGTCCTGTGTAAATATCAACACAGGACAGGATAGGACAGGGACCGATCATCCGATTTCAGCCAGACATCACTGGCTGAAATCGAATGATTGATCCCTCCGGGATCAAATGGTGTCACCCGCGGGTCGGCGGGAGCACGCGCGCCCCCTGCCGGCGAAAACGTTGGGAGCGCGGAACCCGTTTTAAAACGTTGGTTTTGCGCCCCAGTGCCGCCCTGCAAACGTATATATACAGTGGCAGGGCGGCAAGTGGTTAAAGCTGGACAAAACCCGATCACCACGCCGACAAGGAAGAGAGGAGCAGCGTCCAAAGTTGTACCAGAAACTAAGCAGTATGCAGGGGGAGAGGATGGATGCCACTCATACCCACATGGAAGAAAAAATATTTTTGAAATCTATTTAACCCCTTGCCTACCGGGCACTTATACCCCCTTATTTACCAGGCCAATTTTCAGCTTTCAGCGCTGCCGCACTTTGATTGACAATTGCGCGGTCATGCAACATTGTACCCATATGAAATTTTGATCATTTTTTTCTCACAAATAGAGCTTTCTTTTGGTGGTATTTAATCGCCACTGGGCGCTTTACTTTTTGCGCTATAAATTAAAAAAGTGCAAAAAATTTGAAAAAAAAAAAAAAAAGTTTCTTTGTTTCTATTATAAAATTTTTCAAACAGGTAATTTTTCTCCTTCACTGATGTGCGTTGATGAGGCAGCACTGATGGGCACTGATAGGCGGCACTGATGGGCACTGATAGGCAGCACTAAAGGGCACTGATAGGCAGTACTAATGAGGTGGCACGGATAGGCGGCACTGATAGACAGCACTAATGAGGTGTCACGGATAGGGCACTAATATGCAGCACTGATAGGCAGCACTGATAGGTGACACTGATGATGGGTACTGATAGACGGCACTGACTGGCATCACTGCTGGGCACTGACTGGCGGCACTGACTGGCACAACCGCTGGGCACTGACTGGTGGCACTGACTGGCAGCACTGCTGGGCTGCACTGGTGGGTGGCACTGGTGGGCAGCACTGGTGGGTGGCACAGGTGGTGGGTGGGCACAGGTGGGTGGCACTGGTGGGCACAGGTGGGTGGCGCTGGTGGGCACAGGTGTGGCACTTCTGGGCACAGGTGTGTGACACTGCAGAGTTGCACAGGTGGGTGTACTGCTGGGCACAGGTGGGTGATCTGCTGGGCACAGGTGGGCGGAGCTAGTGGGCGCACTGCTGGGCACAGGTGGGCGGAACTTGTGGGTGGCACTGCTGGGCACCGATCATCAGGGCACTGATCATCAGTGCCCTGATGATCGGTGCCGATCCTCGCTCTGACAACTGCCGGTTCTCGGCAGTACTTTCCTCACGATCTGACAGTGTGAGGAAAGTGCAGCCGAGAACCGGCACTTGCATTTCCCTGTGATCAGCGTGTCATTGGACACCGCTGATCACGTGGTAAAAGGCCGGTATGATTGGCCTTTTACCACATCTCGTGATCAGCTGTGTCCATAGGACACAGCGATCACGGAGATCGCCGGGCGCGCAGGAGAGCTCGTTCTGGGAGGACGTCATATGACGTCCACCCAGAACTGGCCGGCCGCAGTGCAGCCGTCATTCGGCTATCTGCGGTCGGCAACTAGTTAAAAAATACAAATCTACATTTTTGGAATGCATTCACAAATACAGGTAAAAATATATGTTAAAATGACTTTTTTTATATGGTAAAAAAAAATCTGAAGAATATATTGAAATAAAATATGTTTGTTAAAATATAATTGTGAAGAAAAAAAAAAAAGTGGTAATTACATTTAAAATAACGGCACCATAATAAATAGAACAACGTCGAGGCCCCCCCCCCCCCCCCCCCCCCCCCCCCGACAAGTCGTTTAATAAAAGGAAAAACTGAAAGAATGCCTCCCGCAGTGGATCCGTCAATCACGATGCCCACTGCCGCCACCGCTGACCTGAAAAAATTATTGAAAAAAGCTCCGCTCCCGACGATGGCTTCCAGCCTTCTGCCTGCTCTTGTGTTTTGACAGTTCTTAAATATGTTAGGGGTGGGGCCACCCGGGGACATCACCTGGGTGAACCAGCCCCATGTGACCTCATTGATGTCACATGGGGTGGGGTTACAGCCTATTTTTTAAATTCTTTTTTCGGGTCGGCGGCGGTGGTGACATTGTGATTGACGTTGGATCTACTGCGGGGGACATTCTTTTAGTTTTTTCTTTTAATAAAGGACTTGTGAAAGACCATCTCCTGTCTTTTTTCAGTACACTTTTTGTTTTTTGTGAATGAGTAGCAGTACCATGTACCCCATACTCATTCACATGGGGGGGAGGGCGCGATTCCGATATGTCCCCTGCCTGCAGACCCCAACAAGCACCAGCCAGGGTTGTGGGGAAGAGGCCCTTGTCCCCATGGGGACAATGTGCTTTGGGGGGGGGAGCCTGCCATGCCCCAAAGCACCCCCCCATGTTGAGGGCATGTGGCCTGGTATGGTTCAGGGGGGGGGGAGGGTGCTCGCTCGTCCCCCCCCTTTCCTGACCTGCCGGGCTGCATGCTCTGATAAGGGTCTGGTATGGATTTTGGGGGGGACCCCCACTCCATTTTTTTTTTTAAATTTTGGTGTGAGAGTTCCCCTCAAAATCCGAACCAGACCCGAAGGACTTGGTGTGGATGGGAGGGAGGACCTCACGTCGTTTTTTTTAATTATTTTTTTAATTGCCGGCAATTCTTTTACATTCAGCTACTGAAATATCGCATGACTTGATGAAAAAAACTCATGCGGTAATTTAGTAGCGTTTACTTTTTCTGACCTCCGGAACAGATTAATTGCTTTTCAATGCATTCCTATGGGAAACTGCGTTTTGGTTTATGATTTTTTCGCTATATGAAAAGTCCCACAGAACGCATTTAATTCAAAAACCGAGGTACAACTGTACTAGTCGGCCAGTGGGTGGCAGTGTTTATAGGTTTGTATCTGCATCTACGGTAAACTCTGCGCCTTTTCTCTATAATAAAGATCATGTTTGCGGAGAAGCAGAAAGGCTTTACTGTCACTGTATGAAGAGCCCCCCCCCCCCCCATTATCAGAGGTGTACTATCAGTGTATGGAGAGCCCCCCCCCCCCTTATCAGAGGTGTACTATCAGTGTATGGAGAGCCCCCCCCCCCTTATCAGAGGTGTACTATCAGTGTATGGAGAGCCCCCCCCCCCCATTATCAGAGGTGTACTATCAGTGTATGGAGAGGCCCCCCCCCCCCATTATCAGAGGTGTACTATCAGTGTATGGAGAACCCCCCCCCCATTATCAGTGCTGTACTATCAGTGTATGGAAAGCCCCCCATTATCAGTGCTGTACTATCAGTGTATGGAGAGCCCCCCCCCCATTATCAGTGCTGTACTATCAGTGTATGAAGTGCCCCCTCACATTATCAGTGCTGTACTATCAGTGTATGGAAAGCCCTCCATTATCAGTGCTGTACTATCAGTGTATGAAGAGCCCCCCCATTATTAGTGTTGTACTATCAGTGTATGGCGAGCCCCCACATTATCAGTGCTGTACTATCAGTGTATGGAGAGCCCCCCATTATCAGTGCTGTACTATCAGTGTATGAAGTGCCCCCTCACATTATCAGTGCTGTACTATCAGTGTATGGAGAGCCCTGCATTATCAGTGCTGTACTTTCAGTGTATGGAGTGCCCCCTCACATTATCAGTGCTGTACTATCAGTGTATGGAGAGCCCCCGTTATCAGTGCTGTACTATCAGTGTATGGAGAGCCCCCCCCCCCATTATCAGTGCTGTACTATCAGTGTATGGAGAGCCCCCCATTATCAGTGCTGTACTATCAGTGTATGGAGAGCCCCCCATTATCAGTGCTGTACTATCAGTGTATGGAGAGCCCCCTCACATTATCAGTGCTGTACTATCAGTGTATGGAAAGCCCCCCATTATCAGTGCTGTACTATCAGTGTATGGAGAGCCCCCCCATTATCAGTGCTGTACTATCAGTGTATGGAGAGCCCCCCATTATCAGTGCTGTACTATCAGTGTATGGAGAGCCCCCCCATTATCAGTGCTGTACTATCAGTGTATGGAGAGAGCCCCCATTATCAGTGCTGTACTATCAGTGTATGGAAAGCCCCCCATTATCAATGCTGTACTATCAGTGTATGGAGAGCCCCCCCCCCCCCCCATTATCAGTGCTGTACTATCAGTGTATGGAGAGCCCCCCCCCCATTATCAGTGCTGTACTATCAGTGTATGGAGAGCCCCCCCCTATTATCAGTGCTGTACTATCAGTGTATGGAGAGCCCCCCATTATCAGTGCTGTACTATCAGTGTATGGAGAGCCCCCCATTATCAGTGCTGTACTATCAGTGTATGGAGAGCCCCCTCACATTATCAGTGCTGTACTATCAGTGTATGGAGAGCCCCCCCCCCCCATTATCAGTGCTGTACTATCAGTGGATGGAGAGCCCCCCCCCCCCATTATCAGTGCTGTACTATCAGTGTATGGAAAGCCCCCCCCCCCCATTATCAGTGCTGTACTATCAGTGTATGGAGAGCCCCCCCCCATTATCAGTGCTGTACTATCAGTGTATGGAGAGCCCCCCATTATCAGTGCTGTACTATCAGTGTATGGAGAGAGCCCCCCATTATCAGTGCTGTACTATCAGTGTATGGAGAGCCCCCCCCCCCATTATCAGTGCTGTACTATCAGTGTATGGAGAGCCCCCCCCCCATTATCAGTGCTGTACTATCAGTGTATGGAGAGCCCCCCATTATCAGTGCTGTACTATCAGTGTATGGAGAGCCCCCCCATTATCAGTGCTGTACTATCAGTGTATGGAGAGCCCCCCCCCCATTATCAGTGCTGTACTATCAGTGTATGGAGAGCCCCCCATTATCAGTGCTGTACTATCAGTGTATGGAGAGCCCCCCCCCCATTATCCCCCCCCCCATTATCAGTGCTGTACTATCAGTGTATGGAGAGCCCCCCATTATCAGTGCTGTACTATCAGTGTATGGAGAGCCCCCCCATTATCAGTGCTGTGCTATCAGTGTATGGAGAGCCCCCCCATTATCAGTGCTGTGCTATCACTGTATGGAGAGCCCCCCCATTATCAGTGCTGTGCTATCAGTGTATGGAGAGCCCCCCCACCATTATCATTATCAGTGCTGTACTATCAGTGTATGGAGAGCCCCCCATTATCAGTGCTGTGCTATCAGTGTATGGAGAGCCCCCCCATTATCAGTGCTGTGCTATCAGTGTATGGAGAGCCCCCCCCCCTATTATCAGTGCTGTACTATCAGTGTATGGAGAGCCCCCCATTATCAGTGCTGTGCCCCCCCCCCATTATCAGTGCTGTACTATCAGTGTATGGAGAGCCCCCCCCCCCCCTTATCAGTGCTGTGCTATCAGTGTATGGAGAGCCCCCCCCCCATTATCAGTGCTGTGCTATCAGTGTATGGAGAGCCCCCCCATTATCAGTGCTGTGCTATCAGTGTATGGAGAGCCCCCCCATTATCAGTGCTGTACTATCAGTGTATGGAGAGCCCCCCCATTATCAGTGCTGTGCTATCAGTGTATGGAGATCCCCCCCCATTATCAGTGCTGTACTATCAGTGTATGGAGATCCCCCCCATTATCAGTGCTGTGCTATCAGTGTATGGAGAGCCCCCCATTATCAGTGCTGTACTATCAGTGTATGGAGAGCCCCCCATTATCAGTGCTGTACTATCAGTGTATGGAGAGCCCCCCATTATCAGTGCTGTGCTATCAGTGTATGGAGAGCCCCCTATTATCAGTGCTGTACTATCAGTGTATGGAGAGCCCCCCATTATCAGTGCTGTACCATCAGTATATGGAGACCCCCCCCCCCATTATCCGTGCTGTGCTATCAGTGTATGGAGAGCCCCCCATTATCAGTGCTGTACCATCAGTATATGGAGACCCCCCCCCCCCATTATCCGTGCTGTGCTATCAGTGTATGGAGAGCCCCCCATTATCAGTGTATGGAGAGCCCCCCATTATCAGTGCTGTGCTATCAGTGTATGGAGAGCCCCCCATTATCAGTGCTGTGCTATCAGTGTATGGAGAGCCCCCCATTATCAGTGCTGTGCTATCAGTGTATGGAGAGCCCCCCATTATCAGTGCTGTGCTATCAGTGTATGGAGAGCCCCCCATTATCAGTGCTGTGCTATCAGTGTATGGAGAGCCCCCCATTATCACTGGTATCTCTGTATAAGGTCTTTGTAGTACATACCGATCACAGCTCCGAGTAACATCTTCATCCTCCCGGCTGTCAGTGTTACAATACATGAGCCGCAGAGTACACTGTTCACTCTCCAGCCCCTGCTCCGCCCATCTCCAGCCCCTTTTCCGTCCAGGGTCTCCTTCTGAGTGTTTAATAATGAATGTAAAGAATCTATCAAAAAATATCTGGTTTTCTCTCGCCGGGGGGCGGGGTTATGAGCAACACTGACAACCTGTTTCGTGTTCCTGCCTGCAATCAATGGAACGTGCGGAGCGTTCCAAGAGCTCCACTTGTGCTTGGTTAGAGAACAAAAAGCACCATGGTGACCCATCATACGTGGCTGCAGAGGAGAACCACCCTGGTGACCCATCATGCGTGGCTGCGGAGAACCACCCTAGTGACCCATCATACGTGGCTGCGGAGGAGAACCACCCTGGTGACCCATCATACGTGGCTGCAGAGGAGAACCACCCTGGTGACCCATCATGCGTGGCTGCGGAGAACCACCCTAGTGACCCATCATACGTGGCTGCGGAGGAGAACCACCCTGGTGACCCATCATGCGTGGCTGCGGAGGAGAACCACCCTGGTGACCCATCATGCGTGGCTGCGGAGGAGAACCACCCTGGTGACCCATCACGCGTGGCTGCGGAGGAGAACCACCCTGGTGACCCATCACGCGTGGCTGCGGAGGAGAACCACCCTGGTGACCCATCACGCGTGGCTGCGGAGGAGAACCACCCTGGTGACCCATCACGCGTGGCTGCGGAGGAGAACCACCCTGGTGACCCATCACGCGTGGCTGCGGAGGAGAACCACCCTGGTGACCCATCACGCGTGGCTGCGGAGGAGAACCACCCTGGTGACCCATCACGCGTGGCTGCGGAGGAGAACCACCCTGGTGACCCATCACGCGTGGCTGCGGAGGAGAACCAGCCTGGGGACCCATCATGCGTGGCTGCGGAGGAGAACCACCCTGGTGACCCATCATGCGTGGCTGCGGAGAACCCCCCTGGTGACCCATCATGCGTGGCTGCGGAGGAGAACCACCCTGGTGACCCATCATACGTGGCTGCGGAGGAGAACCACCCTGGTGACCCATCATGCGTGGCTGCGGAGGAGAACCACCCTGGTGACCCATCATGCGTGGCTGCGGAGGAGAACCACCCTGGTGACCCATCACGCGTGGCTGCGGAGGAGAACCACCCTGGTGACCCATCACGCGTGGCTGCGGAGGAGAACCACCCTGGTGACCCATCACGCGTGGCTGCGGAGGAGAACCACCCTGGTGACCCATCACGCGTGGCTGCGGAGGAGAACCACCCTGGTGACCCATCACGCGTGGCTGCGGAGGAGAACCACCCTGGTGACCCATCACGCGTGGCTGCGGAGGAGAACCACCCTGGTGACCCATCACGCGTGGCTGCGGAGGAGAACCACCCTGGTGACCCATCACGCGTGGCTGCGGAGGAGAACCACCCTGGTGACCCATCACGCGTGGCTGCGGAGGAGAACCACCCTGGTGACCCATCACGCGTGGCTGCGGAGGAGAACCAGCCTGGGGACCCATCACGCGTGGCTGCGGAGGAGAACCACCCTGGTGACCCATCATGCGTGGCTGCGGAGAACCACCCTGGTGACCCATCATACGTGGCTGCGGAGGAGAACCACCCTGGTGACCCATCATGCGTGGCTGCGGAGGAGAACCACCCTGGTGACCCATCATGCGTGGCTGCGGAGGAGAACCACCCTGGTGACCCATCATGCGTGGCTGCGGAGGAGAACCACCCTGGTGACCCATCATGCGTGGCTGCGGAGGAGAACCACCCTGGTGACCCATCACGCGTGGCTGCGGAGGAGAACCAGCAGGATCACTAAAGACAAGCAACAATGATACAAATAAAAGGTTCCGATAGGCTCACAGAGAGCATTCATGACTCCCCCTTCACTTATTTCAATGTTGCAGCCTGATACCATCTTTGTTTAAATTCATTTTTTTTCTCATTAACCGCTTCTGTGCCGCCCTCTAGAAGAAATATTGCTACAGGGCGGCACGGGTGTGCAAGGTCAGGTATATATATGTATATATTTGATGATAAAAATAAAAAAAGTGAGCGCTAATTAGTTCAGCAGCTGTACACTCAAGGCAACCAATAAAACCTCAATACAAAATATCACAGAAACAGTGCAGTGCTTTGATTAATAGTCCTTAGTAATTCTTGATCAGTGAATGTTCCCCAAATGAGAATAGAAGAAATGCCCACTCACCAGAACCGGAGCTCCACGATGCTCAATGGCTCAACCTCTGACGATGTGCGTGGTACGTAACGCGTAAGGAGGAGCCTGCTCGCGCCGTTGACGTCACGCCGTCAGAGCATCGTGGAGCTCCGGCGGCCATCTCTTTTCAGGGATGGTTAGTGTTACCTCTGTTATCTGCCGTTCCTATCGATACTTACTGGATGCATCCTTACTCTTGCAAATAAACATTTATCTTATCCAAACTATATTACACTATGGGCACTTTTTTGTCTTGACCCCGTATGGGGAGTACTTTCTTCCAGAAGTTGTGTTGCTCCGAGTCTTACCAGAGAGGGAGGTTCCTACTACTGTAAGAGCAACACCCACACATCCCTTAAGGGGAACTCTGTGCCGCAGCCTAATTTCCTATGACCCTGAACCTGTTTGACCCAGAGAGTGACATTCTTCCACGTGCTGATCCAGACATATACTTCCAGTGGAACCAGGAATTAATTTTATATTTACTGCACTACACCAAGTGTGCTTCTGGTGAGTGGGCATTTCTTCTATTCTCATTTGAGCAACATTCACTGAGCGCTGCACTGTTTCTGTGATATTAGTGTGGCAGGCGCAGCACCCTTTGGTGCCTGGTGCGCTGTGGCATTAAAAAAATTATGCAATTGCTGTTTCTTTGTTTGATTAGACTGACTTTACTCTGTAATTCCTCCAATGCCGCTCTATGGATGCAGTAGGTTTAACCACTTGCCGACCGCGCATAGCCGAATGACGGCTTCACCGCGGCCGGCCAGTTCTGAGTGGACGTCATATGACGTCCTCCCAGAACGCGCTCTCCTGCGCGCCCCAGGGGGCGCGCACCCCCGGGCGATCTCCGTGATCGCTGTGTCCTACGGACACAGCTGATCACGAGATGTGGTGAAAGGCCGATCCCACCGGCCTTTTACCACGTGATCAGCGGTGTCCAATGACACGCTGATCACAGGAAAATGCAAGTGCCGGTTCTCGGCTGCACTTTCCTCACGCTGTCAGATCGTGAGGAAAGTACTGCCGAGAACCGGCAGTTGTCAGAGCGGGGATCGGCACCGATCATCAGGGCACTGATGATCAGTGCCCTGATGATCGGTGCCCAGCAGTGACCCCCGCAAGTTCCGATCAGCTGTGCGCCCACTAGCCCCGCCTACCCATTCCCAGCAGTGCCCCCACCTGTGCCCAGCAGTGCCCCCACCTGTGCCACTCTGCAGTGCCACCTACCTGTGCCCAGCAGTGCCACCTACATGTGCCCAGCAGTGCCACCCCCACCTGTGCCCACCCACCTGTGCCCACCAGCGCCACCCACCTGTGCCCACCAGTGCCACCCACCTGTGCCCACCCACCAGTGCTGTCCACCAGTGCCACCCACCAGTGCCACCCACCAGTGCTGCCAGTCAGTGCCACCAGTCAGTGCCCAGGGGTTGTGCCAGTCAGTGCCGCCAGTCAGTGCCCAGAAGTGATGCCAGTCAGTGCCGTCTATCAGTACCCATCATCAGTGTCACCTATCAGTGCTGCATATCAGTGCCGCCTATCCGTGACCCCTAATTAGTGCTGTCTATCAGTGTCGCCTATCCGTGCCACCTCATTAGTACTGCCTATCAGTGCCCTTTAGTGCTGCCTATCAGTGCCCATCAGTGCCGCCTATCAGTGCCCATCAGTGCCGCCTCATCAACGCAAATCAGTGAAGGAGAAAAAATACCTGTTTGAAAAATTTTATAAAAGAAACAAATAAACTTTTTTTTTTTTTTCAAATTTTTTGCACTTTTTTTAATTTATAGCGCAAAAAGTAAAGCGCCCAGTGGCGATTAAATACCACCAAAAGAAAGCTCTATTTGTGAGAAAAAAATGATCAAAATTTCATATGGGTACAATGTTGCATGACCGCGCAATTGTCAATCAAAGTGCGGCAGCGCTGAAAGCTGAAAATTGGCCTGGTAAGGAAGGGGTATAAGTGCCTGGTAGGCAAGTGGTTAAAGAGCACACCGAATACTTTAGTTAACTTCTTTAATAACTTCAATCTTCTTCATATAACTGCTTACAATGGCTTATTTCTTTCATATTACAATGGTTTAATTCGTATTACATTGGGTTGATTCGATAGCTTATCTCGATAAATTCGATAGGATTCGTTCGATTATGATTACTCTACAGTGACTTGATTCGTTTAATTCGTAAGTTCGTAAGTTCGGTGCAACTATTTGGCCTTTCTCTGTTTCCATAAAGCTTCTCTGATTGGAACTTTGTCTGTTTCCTCCTCTGTCTGGTGAGCATGTGTCTCTAGAACAATCTATCAGGGAGTTTTACACAGACATAAATGTGAAACTGGCTGGGATTGGTTAAGGCTCTGTACAGTGTGAGGATGGCTGTGATTGTCTCACCTTTAACTAACTCTTAAAGGCATATTTTCCTTTTCTGCTTCTGCTAACACAATGAATATATACATGTCATATAACAATCAAAGACATAAATTACAGCAATGATTCTGCTTTTGGCTTTAACATATGCACATATACACTGTACTGAGGTTATTGGCAGGTTTTGTATACACATATTTGGCAGATGAGGTCTTTCTCTAAAAGGTAGGGGCATTTCAAGATGACCTTGTTGATTTTGCTGAATATTATCTTCTAGAACTTGTACAAACTTTATGTCCTCTTGGGAGACACTCTTTTCAATACAACTTACGCCTGCAAAGTCGGATTCTAGGATTTTGAGTACTTTCGCTGGACTTACAGTTGGTAACCTCCTGGACAGATATTCTATGACACAATCCTGTCACCTGTCCTGAATCTGCAATCTGTCGTTTTCCTCCAACAACACCCCATCCTAGATCAGTCTGGACTGCGTAGGGTTCACACTTTCCTCCTGCGATTATCTTTCGTGGCACCAAGGCCTCGGGACAGTCGTAGCCTATCAACAGTCTAACACCAAATTCCTTCAGCGGGGACATTTCATGAGATATGACAGATAGGTGTTCCCATTTGTTGGCTGTTTCACAGGTAGGTATGCGATCTCGATCCAGAGGTATGTCGTCTTTTGTATAAGCTGGAGGTAGATCTAATATGCAGTTTTGAGTGGAGTCCTCTAACTCTCAGTCCTCTGACTCTTTGACTGTTCACCAATGTGTCTCTTCTTGTCATTGTAGTGAGTTTGAGTTTCAC